AGTTTGAGTTAAGAGTAGTAACTAACTTGCTCCCAGGAAAAGAACCGGTGAGAAGGCCCCTGGGGCGCTACAGCCTTCCTTACAAGGGGACAAATCCAATCTCACTTTAACAAGAGCAACAAAATTACTCTCTGCATTTAACCCATCCCTTTGGGGAGCAGTTGGCTGCCATTGTGCGGTGCACGGGGAGCAGTGTGGAGGTTAAGGGGTCTTTTTGTCAGTGACCCAGAGTGGCAGTCTGTGGGAGTGGGTTTCAAAATCACAACCTCAGGATGCCAAGCTCTACGTCCTAAGCACCTTGTGGTTAGTGCGTAGACAGTGACAAGTTTCATCTCAGAGCACAAGCACTGTTCTTTAACCACAAGGCCAACACTTCCCCTATTGGTTTGTTATCTATTTCCAAAATCAGCATTTCCTCATCCATGCAAAGTTTATTTTGAAGTTGTGCCATGTGCTCTTGAAAGTTGTTGTGACTGGATTTGATGAAACTTTTGAGCCTCTCAGTATAAAATAAAAATTTTGATTGGGATGAGAAATCAGCTTCCTGGTATGTTGAAATACCAATAGTTTGTGTCCAGTAATTTAAATAAACTGCCTTAGTTTTTTGGAATACAGAAGAATTATGCTCTAATTTGTAATTGCTAATCTGTAATTACTTTATTTCAATTTGACAAACCAGATCTTCTTGACGTCCGGACCGGAGAAAAATCTGCTCTGCTCCGTCAGTCTCAGCAGAGGATGTGGTCACCCCAGCCATGTGGAGTTGTTCACTGTCAGATGAACACTTCCAGGTTTAATGTTTCTGGAAACAACATTATTTTGGGTTCTAACAGTCTGCATTTTTTTTAAAGAATAAAACACACATAACAGAACAGATTTTTGATTTGAAATATTATATTATATTATAAGGAATTACAAAAATTTCAATTTTGTTTAGCTCCAAGCTGCTAAATTAATAGCCACCTTATTTAGAACAATGCTTCAAGGGTTTTTCCTTTCTGTATTAGAGTGTATTTATACCTGGGCAGTAGTTTTTTGTGTTGTTTTAATATATTACAGCCTACTTTCTTTTTCTATTTAATGTCTGGATTTTAGTTTGACTGTAACAAACAGATTGGGATTAAGGAAATTTTACCACCAGATAAGTTTGGAGGGATTTTTTTTAATTTAAGAAATGCCATTTTTCTATATCTAAACCATACAGTCGAACCAGTCAGGCCTTCACAGCTTTAAATGAGATTAAGGAAACTTCGGTTGTTCCCTGGGTGAGATGTGGGTGAACTCTTAAAGCTTTAGTTAGGCAATGGGGTTTTCTCCACCCAAATTCCATTCCTTCGTGCTGTAGTCAGGCAGGAGTGTAAATATAATAGCACTTACAGGATCAAAACTCTTTCCTGTTGCTAAAAAAGCAACAGTGATTCAGGTGAATCAGCAGAACCTCTAAACTGATCATCCCTGCAAAAGAAAGGAGTGGGCTTTGGGGGGAAAGATAACTGTTGCTCTGGAAACGCATCATATTACTCATCTGCTCTTCTAGGCCCGTATTTCCCAACTTTGTCTGACTTGTGGAATCCTTTAGGGATTTTGTCTTACCATTCGTATCCCTCTTAGTCAAAAGTATTAATGATTGTCCAAAAGTGGAACGTACAATAGCTGATTATAAAATAAAGACTATTGTACTTAATATTTTAATCTGAGCATTTAATTATTATCATTGCATTCTTTTAATCTCAAATAAAAACTACATAAATTTGTTGCCTGGAAGTTAGTAAGGAATCAAAATAAATACAAATTAATATGATATTAACCTGTATTTATAAAACTGGAGCTCCTTTGATTACCTCTCCTAAAAATACATTTAAACTTGATGAATTGGGAACAAAAAGCAGAACTAAAATTATTGTCAGACTGACTTAATTCGTTTTATTTGTTTTCATCAAGACACCAGAGCTGTTTTGATAGCTCCGTGTTAAAAACAGCTAGCCTAGTACACTAGCCCCACCCGCCAGCGGCCAAATAATTTTTTTCCTGGATCAGGGCATATTGGATTAGTTGGTGATAGGATAATAATACTGTCAGTATCAGAGGCGTGCACAGACATTTTGGGGGGCAGGTGCTCAGGAGGGGGGGGAGGGCACTTTTTAG